GTACTCTCCAGGGGAGAATGTAATGCGTATTTAAATGTAAATTTAGGAAGTGGAAAAAATGCTGTTTGGTGAGTTAAGAGTGTTTGTAGTGGAGATCCCACCACTTTTTAAACTGATGCTACTGGTGAGTATTTTCAATAGTAAGAAATGGACCATCTAGTACATAAACTGATTGAGTCCTCTCACTGGTCAGTTAGCATGAAACACTCTTAGTGTTAAGCAGCTGAAATATTTTAGCTTACAGACAAAAACAGTAATAATAATAATCTGAAATGAAATGATGACCAAAGGTGTCTTGATCAGCAAATCATTCTTACACCAACCCCTCATCTCAGGTCTGTAGTTTAGAAAACAACAGGAGCATTTGATTTGATGATTTTGGTTCAGAGAATCTGGCCAGAAGCTGTTAGTGTGGTGCAGTCTCTACGTGAAGTCCCTGACACAGGCTAATAATCAGCTGCAGTCACATGAAACCTCACCTGTGGAAACAAACTGGTTTGTTTCAGTGGTGTCACATCACACTTTCTTCTCCCTCCAGACTCACTTCTGTGTGGTTTTTGAGTCTCACCCAGTTTGTGCTTGACTCTATTTTTAACACTTTCACTCATCACATCTGCCTGAATTTAAAGGAAACTTCTGGAGACCCTTTTTTTTTTCTATTCCTGTCAATAAATCCCGTGCAGCGACGATCTCCTGGCTGTGCAGTGGAGCCTGACAGATTGTCCTCTGGGCTCCACTGTGTCCAAACACTCTGCACCTTTGAAATGTTGTGAATGATGTTAAACTGCCGTGTCCTGTCTGCAGGTGTATGAAGCAGTCAAGTGGATCCAGCTGGTCATGGCTCTGCTCAGGTCATTCACTGCTACATTTTCTACTGGTTTCACTGGTCACTGCAAACACATCTTTAACCTTCTCCTCTCCACCTCCAGTTTTGAGCTAAAATGAACACAGCTGCAGCTCCTGCACCACAATGGTTCTATGAATAAATAAGGCCTTGTCAGAACAGAAACCCCCCAGGGTTTCTTGTCAAGTTGTCAGAAAGTCAAGGTCAAGGTGACACAGCAACAGAGCAGCAGGTCTCCGAGCTCAGCACAAACTGAAAGAAAAACATTATATGCTGCAGTTTAAACAACTGCCTGTGGCTTTACTATACTCCCAGGTAAATGGCACTGTGGGGTTGTAAACAGAACACTGATGAATAACTGCTTCAAATCTGGTGATGATATCACTGTGGGTTTTCATAAAGTCACTTACTTTATGTGCACAACCACCAGGGTAGATACTGTAGGTATGTTTGAAAACTATGGCAAAGCCGAAAAATAAAAACTAAATCTAACTGTACAAAACAGAGTTAATGTCTGATTCACTCGAACTTTTGATGTGCTCTGTTTTTTACACTAAATACTTCAGTCATCTATTTGTCTCATCCACGAACTGCTCAGTACATTAAACTTTAATTTCTGGGTCATCTACACAGTAAAGGACCAAGAGGAAAGAGCTTAAAGGTCACTGGACCCAGACAACAGAAAAAATGTAATGTTCCAGTCACCATGAAATAATCGGAAGCTTGTTTTTCTTCCCGTTTGTTATGTCACAACAATAACTTTACCTTAATGGAACCAGTTTTTCTCATAATAAACATGTGAAGTAAATCATGTTATCATCATGTGAAGTAAATCTGTGATGTCTCGTTTAACACTACTCTGATTCTGTCTGCAGTATTCTGGGTTCAGGCTCCATCATCATCTGTGTGATGTTACAGAGGCTCTGTCGGGCGCCAGAGGTCAGTCGTTCTGTTTGCCTTTACATGTTTCTGTTTACTGAGTGCTCCACATGTACAGGGCCACATTTGAGTCAAAAGGATTCAGAGCCTGTGAAATGATGCTCAGAAATCATTTGCAGTTACACACAACCCTTTGTAAGCTTGTGTCACGTTTGTGAGTGGGGTGATGTTACGGCTCTGGCCTTTTGCGTATAACGCTCGCAGTAGGCCAATTAGTATGTGGAGCTGTCGATCTGGGACTGGTTCCCCTGCTGCTTCCAGCTGGTCTTTGGTCCGCCCTCCCTTACAGATTGGTCCAGCATTCCAGACCAGGGCTCCAGACTAACACTTCATACTGGTGGCACTGGTACTGCCATGTCTCTCAGATGGTGACACCAGTGCCACCAGTATGAAGTGTTAGTCTGGAGCCCTGGTCCCTGAGCCTGATCCACCAGAAGAGATTCAAGTGAAAAGTTTCCAAGACATAAACAGACTAACAGGTGATTGACCTGATTTAAGCAACAGTCTGGGGCGATTACAAAGGAAAAAATAAACTCAAAGTGTAAACAAGGGGTCCAGGGATGACACATGCGTCTCAGAGTCAGTGTGGATCAATACATTTGATAGGTTTGAAGTCTCCGCCTAATGAGACGAGCGAGTGACAGGCCTGCAGATAAACGTTGCTTTAAAACCATTTCTCAACACATTTCACAGACTCATCATCTTTTGACCCTTACCTTTGTAGGTTTTATCTCACTAGTAGAAAACTATATAAAAGCTGATGGGGTGGCAATAGGAAAAGGCTCAGCTGTACACAGGATGAGTATCAGATCTGAAACCAGTCGTCCTTCACAGCAAGAGAGGAATCTGCACCAGCTCAACCTGCTGTGTTTTTCTCTGTGTGTTTGCAGCTGCAGCCTCTGTTGCTGCTCAGTGCGTCTGACATGCTGCTCGCTCTCTGCTGGTTGAGCGGAGCCATGCTGTTCTCGAATCACTGCAACAGCTGGAGCGCATACTGTTACAACCTGCACACTGTGGAACAGGTAACACAACCCGACACATCCGAGTCCTGATCTCCCCTCGCTGTGTCTAAACACCAGTAAACCCACCAGTGACCACACTGCTGCACCGGCTGACGTGTTCCTCTGTCACCATGAACACACACACTGGAGTTTACACTGACATATACTCACTAGAGACCAAATGTGGATTCATCCACTGCTGAAAATAGTCCCCAGCAGATGCACTGTTTGGTTGATAAAGACTACGGTGAGCAGCCACAGACAGGAAGTCAGAACGAACACACTGCTGGTGTTTGGGATTTTTTGACAGTAAGAAAAACGGACAATAACACCAGACTTCTACTTGAAAACAATCTTCTTCATCAGGTCTGCACTAAATATGATGGAGGCCTATGTAAACACAGTAGTTCAAACCAGGTTGATAATTTCACATCAGAAATTTCTGCCTTTAAGTTTTTCTTCATGATTTTACACTAGCAGTGCAGCTGTGATCAGGAAACAGGCCGAGAACTATTCTAATTATCTCTAAAATGATTAGTGAGCGCTGGAGTTTGGGTCTTCACCTCCATTTTTGCTGGTGCTCATTTATTAGCTTTCTGTTGCTTTTTGTGAACAGCTGATGCAGTTAAACGCTTTCTTTCCTTTACACAATTACAGCTGCACTGAATTGTTTATTCATTTTTATATGAGGCTTGTCTCATATAGTTCTATGCATGTTTCCATTTTCATTTTGAAATGTCCTCATCCTGTAGGTTAGTGTCAGGTGTACCTGGGCACATCTCACTGGTACAAGATGCACATGGCCCCAGTGACGCTAACTTGTTTATTTAGTCACAAATTCAACATTTAAACCACAAATATTCTTAAGACATGAATCCCATGACAGCAGGAGGTCACAGAGATGCCACAACAATGCAGTCACCGTACCCAGTGCTCAAATTCATGCTCTTTATTTATCATGGGGAAACTTTTGTGCCTTTCACATATGTGCTAAGCTACAATGGAATTTCCTTCCCTCAAAACAAACCACTGTATGTTTCCTTAATAAACAGCCAAAATAAGGAACCTTCATAAAAAGTTGTTTCTCTACAGTTGACAACTGGGGAACCTCAACTTCCTTCTGAGAAATACAACTGAAATTAAATGCCTCATTGTGTTTTTCTACATCAAACCTAATGATAAAAAACAGGCATTGGCCAGAATTATGAGCCAAACCTGTTGCCTGTGTTAAACAGGGATGAGTTTGCACATTGAGCTCAGAAACACATTGCACACCAGGTCACTCAGTGTTAAACTGTTTGTGCTCAGAAACAACATGAGACTTACTCACATTTTCATGTTCGAAGACACGAGCCACACAGGACCATAGGTTAAACACAGGACCCAGCTGCCACGGCAGCATTCAAACTCAAATTAGGTCCATCCCACCAGCTCAGGGATTGGAGGACAGATGTGTCAGTCACCCATGTGATCACACTAGACTGTTTCCATTGGACAGAAGAGCTGGAGTTGCTTTCCTGTTGGAAACACGCTGTGATGATTATTCTGCTTCATCATGAAGGCTCTTGGTTGTAGATTTAATGCTTTGTTTGTGTTAAAATCAAGAAAGTTAAAAAAAGGAAATAAGAGTTGATTTGAGGAAGCTGAAAATTCCACAGGACGATTCCCAGTTCAGGAGCTGAGTGAAAACCAGTCCTCCTGACCACCAAACCATCATCTCCCTGCCACTGCAAGCTGGCCCTGTCAGATTGTGACCTTAATGATCTTTTAGCAGCCATGGCCTCTGTCCTCACCTGTGTGGGAAACAGGTCTCTGAGGGTCTGGCAGGGAGGACTCCTGGTTCAACATGTGCTATGGGAACAAAGACAATTTTGAATCAATCATTAATAACCTTCACTGTTTTAAATAGAGTTGTATTGACAGATGTTAAGTGGTGAAATCCATAAGAAGCTACATCTGTTGCAATATTTTCTTATAAATCCTTCACACAGAATCTGCTGAACTGCATTTTTAATCCTTTAGTCCACTTCACGTAAATAAAGAAGCACCTGTTCCCATACTTGGAGTTGAACCTAGACCAGCTCAGAATCTTTACTCCCTTTGGGACACTTTCAGGACTTCCGTTCAAATATCTGTACACAAAAACACTCCTATGTTGAAAGAATAGGCTTCCAACATTCACATAAATATGTGCATTAGAAAAGTGAAATAAGGTTCAGACAAGTTAATATGATGTGGAAAACAGTGCAGGGACAGCTTCACTACACACTGAATTTAAGATTAGCTTTACATCTGTACTAGGAGCTCTGTCTTAATAGACAGTTACAAATGTGTGTGTTCCCATATCAGGAATTGAACCCAGGCCACCTGGGTGAAAACCAGGAATCCTGACCACAGAACCACAAGGGACACATCTGTTATTAAAAAGTGCTCCTGCTTTCCTCAAACATTGTCACACTACATAAACTATGAGGTGCATTTATGCAGAAAGACCAGAATGGTCCTTTATTATCATGTTCTGGTTAAATACTGAGTAGAAACAAATCTAGTGACCTGTTTTTTCAGGGCAGTTTGTCCCAGACGACCCAGTCCAGAACGGACCCTGAACTGGGTCAGTCAGGGATGAAACAAAGCAGCAGAACCAGGACAAACTGCAGACAGGATGCAAAAACAGAAACCAAGAAAAACACCACAGACATTTCTGACCTACATCCATTGTTCAGAATCATCAGCTGTGAGTTTCTTCCCTTTATCTATACACTGTGCAGAAAGTGCACGTGTGCCATGAGGTCCTTATTTAGAAAATAAGTGCAGTGCAAGTGAGTGCACAGTTGCACAAACAAGCACCAGACAAAAGGCTGCTATGAATGGAACTTTTTATGTACTTTCAGGTTCTGTACATGGCCTCCTTCCTCTACACACTCAACTACGTGTGGGACCTGTACAGGGGAATCAGAGAGATGTTCTACAGCTGCCTGGATGGATACTCTGTGCAGGTACACGCAGACCGTACTGGTGCACACAGACCACCCTGTACAACATTTTAGCCAAAGACTTGTCAGGCATCAAACTCAAAATGAAATGAAACAGCATCTTTACACTAGAGAACAGGCTGCAGCAGTCAACCAAGGTCACTAAGGACTCAAACCACAAACATCTGAGACAGACCCATCAGGGATGAATAATATCCTTTTAGGATCCACAGCATGAAGCTGAAGCTTTTTAATGATCTGCTAATAAAAACCAGTCAAAGTAGAGTCCGCTGCTAGTTACGTCTACATGTGAATCTGGATCCGTCTGGTCCCTCATCACCTTTTCCTGTTTTTATTCCCTAGTTCTCCAACAGAGTGAGCACAGCTGGCAAAGTCACTGCTCTGCTTTCAGTGTGAGTCCAGTAACACTGTGTGATAGTAATCCTCCTCTCTACCTGGGTCCAACAGAAAACCGCTGAACACACTTGTCTTCCTGTGTTTGCAGGCTGATTCCTGTGCTGCTTATGACGCCTATATTTATCCAAGGGAACATCAGCAAATGTCAAGCCAACTCCAGCGAGCCCTACAGGTGAGAAGGAAACCCGACACGTTCCGGTAATGACACCGCACACCGCACAAGAGCTTAAACTTCCCAACTTTAGATTTAATTTACCTGTAAAGTCTCAAAGTCATATAGAAACATGGAAAATCAGTAGCTACGTGGTGCTAAGTGAAAATGCCAGATGTTTGTTTTGACCCTCACCGTGCACCATACCAAACCAGGTGTCTGCTGATGCACACCGGAGCACTGTACCTGACCTTAGAGCAGCAGCAGCCAATCAAAGTCTGCAGCCTGCTGCACGCCTACAGCATCACCATCTTCCTTGCCACCTTCATCGTCACACTAATCAGCATCACAGTGAGTTCACACGTGACCTGACATGAAAACGTGCATGTGGATCTGTTCTGTGCACCTTCAGAGAGAAACTGGTTTCAGTTCATGTACGTATTTAAAAGTTTCACGGTTTTTCATTAAAGAAAAAGTGTTTGTAGATTTATAATCCTGACCAAAAGGAAACCGAGGAAGGGAAGGACGTTAAATTTCCAGGTGCTCGATGCCCATGTTAGAAATCTGTCAAATCTGCTGCAGAGGAGCTTCAGCTGGGATGCAACACCATTTGTCTAGATGGTTGAATACACAGTAAATAAACACACCCCCTCTCCTGCGCCAGGTGCTCGTGGCGAATGCCCGGGGTATTTACAGGCGAGCTGTGGTGTCAAACGGTTACCTTGGCAACCAGCAGCAAGCCTCCTTCCAAGTGATGAACCGACGGATGCTCCTGTACCCGTCGGTCTTCGTCCTCTGCTGGGGTCCAGGTATGTGTCTTCATTCTGAACAGATGAGGCGGGGTGTCAGGCTTTGGCTGTTTCTGATTGGCTGTTAAGACTCCAGTGCTGAGTTCACATGTCAGCTTTTCCAATGTGTCTCCTCAGCGGTGAGCCTGGCTTTTCTGCAGGTGGTGAAGCCCTCAGTGTGTCAGGGCGACGCCGGGGTAGCCCTCTACGTATTACAGGTCAGTCTGCTGCAGGACTGGGGCTAAAATACAGTGCAGCTACTGTGTTCGTGTTATATTTCTTTGTGTCTCTGTGGTAATCACACTGACTTTTCTAACAGTGAAGATGAACTTGAAACAGATTCTCTTGTGCGGGGAGGACAGTAATCAGTCCCAGGTATTAGAACAGAGTTTGGCCCCTAAAACCAGTATATACATGTAACTGTGGTCACACTGGGTACCAGGATTCATTGTATGTGAGCACTGCTGCTAGGGGCCAGGTTAGTAACTTGTTTGTATCTTTTTTGGTTTGGTCACTTTAAGTCCTGAGTTAATGGTGTTAATCAGTGGTTTGAGTCTCAAGATAAATCTGAGGGGGTCCCAGACAATTAGAAATTTCATAAAGGAGAAGAAAACTCTAAAAAATAAAATAATCTATTACTGGGGTAATTTTGTAATGAAATACTGAAGAATTTTACATCTCCAAGTCTTTAAAGTGAATTAACATAAACAACACACTGAACCCAGCTCAGAGATGCACGTGCTGTGACCTGTGACGAGAGGTTAGCAGCAGCTGATTCAGGGCTATAAAGGATCACAAAGCTTAAGAACAACTGGAATAAAACCTGCAGAACAATCAGAGTGCTCTTGGTAAAATGTGCAGGAGAGTGATGAGATGTGTCCTCAGGTTTCTCCCAGTGACATGAGTGTCTTCTGTCCTCAGGCCTTCACCTCAGCCTCTCAGGGTTTCCTCAACTGTCTGGTCTACGGATGGACTCGTGCGCACATCCGTCGAGCCTACAGGACCGTTTTGTCTCGGGACGTGGACACTCAGACGCCCCTGCTGCGGTCCCAGAAGAAGGGGACCTACCAGTCCCTCCCCAACATCAGCTGAAAGACACCGCACTGACGGGCTGAGGCTGAGGAGGGGTTTCTGTCATCTGCAGCACAAAACACCAAAGGAAAGTCTGAACTTTCACTTTCACTAAGAGGGAAAACACCACAGCTGCAGAGGACACACACTTCCACCTCTGATCCTGGACCACTGGGGCGAGAAAAAGGGAAGAAGAAGAAGGAGAGGGAGTTTACGACAAGAGGAAGAGCGACGAAGAAAACAGGATTTGAAAGACTCATGGCCGCACTGAGTCTGCCCTGACGTGACCTCACAGGTGGCTTGTTGGTATCCAGTTCACCACTGGCAAACAGCCTCTGTGCAGTTCATTAGCATCACCCCAGTCAGAAGCAGAACTGCACAGAGCAAAAAGATAAAAACAAGATGTCTGAAGTAGCTGTAGCCCGATCTTAACAAATTCATGCGATTAGAGAAATTCAATAGAAAGTTTGAAGTAATTTTTAGTTTTCATGCACAAGTGGCTACATTCATCTCAGTTTTTACCTTTCAACTTTCCATAGTTCCATTAGGATGATCAGTGTATTGCAACTTTCCATAGTTCCATTAGGATGATTAGTGTATTGAACAAGTGTTAAAACAAGTGAGAAACCTGAAGCTCAGTTCTGCTCCTATCTCACAGGGAAGGGAAGTCTGAGGTTTAAACTGAAGAGATTTAAGGCTGAGTTGGAACTAAAGAGGTACAGTAACTGAAGCCTCCTGAAGAGGCAGGTTTACGTCTCCTTGTGGCTCCAAACATCAGTCCAGGAGAAATGTGAGCGCTGCGTGTTGTCACTGAGGTCTTCATCATCATTTTGCTTCTCCAGCTCCAGGGGTCATTTCTCTTAAAGTGTCATGAAGAATTACTGTACAGAAGCTTAGAAACATCACAGTAGACATGGAGAGTAACCGATGGTACCGATGAGGTGGTTAATGACCTCGGAGTTTTGTTGAACTGCATTGCTGCTGACCAACCATGCAGACACTCAGCAAGGGGATCACACCACCTGACCACAGCGTTGCCCACAGAGACGCCGCCGGACGCAGAAGCCCGACCTCCCTCATTATGTGAAGTGGTGTTCAGTGGGGGTGGGACATCACTGCCTCCCCCCGATCCCCCTCCTGCTCCTGGACCTGCTGTGGGCGTTTAGCCAGAATCTGCAGGACCACGAGTTTCCTCTTCAATCAGACCTCAACTTATCAGAAATACTGAAGTTCAGACTGAAATTCAAAACTGAGATCTATGAAATGAAATGTCAAGTTTTTCTCTTGTCTCTACAATAGCCAGAGAATTTGCTTAAAGGTAAAACAGATATATGTGTGATTTAGTTTTTGGACAGAGGTGTAAAGTTACTGTTCTTACAATATGTTGTCAGGTACTTGTACTTTACTTGTATTTTATGGTACTTTATACTTCTGCTGCACATTTCAGAGGCAAGTATTGTACTTTTTATTCCACTAATATTAAAGTTTGAATTACTTTTGAACTTTTGCTTAAATAAAATTTTGAATGCTTCTGCCTAAGTAAAAGATTTCAAAGAAAAGACAAACACATCACATGTACAGAAACTGTAGACAATCCAAAACACACAGTGACAGGTGAAGTTTTCATTTTGTCTCCTCAGCTGAACATTGTGAACTCAATTCAATTTATTTATATAAACAGTAAATGGTTTTGTACTTCTATAGCACTTTTCTATGCATTGCAGCACATTCAAAGTGCTTTCACACTACTTGGCCATTCACACACCGGTAGCAACTGGGGGCTCAGTGTCTCACTCAAGAACACTTTGACATGTTGTCTGGACAAGCCAAGGATTGAACCACTAATCCTCTGGTTAGGAGACAAACTGCTCCACCTTCTGAGCCACAGCCATTGCTCAAAATCAATTGTCTCAGGGCACTTTACATAACCAGGTCTAGACCTTACACTGTTACAGAAAAACCCAACAAATCCCCCCTGAACAGCACTTGGTGATAAACTCCCTTTAACGGAAGAAACCTCTGACAGACCCCGGCTCTTGGTGGGCGGCCTTCTGCCTCGACCGGTTGGGGTGAGTGGATAGAGGAGAGAGAAACGAAAAGCAACAAGACACACGAGGTTGTTATGGTGCCATGAAATATCAGCAGACATACCATAACATGCTAACTACCTTTCTGCCCTCCTTCACTGTCCTACTAGGTTTAGAATACTACACAGTAGCCACAATATACAGATACACAGTATACATACATATACAGCATACACACATACAGTATACAGTACATCCATATGCACACACATATAGTATATACAGTGTATGTACTTTTATATACAGTACATACAGCACATATACACAACACTATACACTACAATATGTAATATTAAGTATTATATATGTGTGTATGCTACACACACACACCATTTACACACAAAACCACACAATAGTCCAGTATTATTCCATATAATCAGTCAATAATCCACAGCTAAATGTGCCAAAGACTGGGACAGTGTTCCTATGGAAGCTCAGTGTATGAGTTAAATGATGTTTACCCATTATTTGGCACCAAAGAGGGGGGTGCCAGGCCATCCTACATCTAAAGAGCCCCACAATAAGCAACACTATTTTCCAGACCTAACCTGCCCTTAACACAAATCATCCCTGAACCCTGTCCTCACCTAAGAAAAGAGCAGATATGTGGCTTGATGCACATCGTCTGCATAGTGTTTGCTAAGGTCGAGCAGTGGCTTGTCCAGCTGTCTCGTAGTGGCAGTCACCTCCGGTTGAGGTTCTCTGAAGTTGCTGTGTTCAGATTTATTGTCCAGAAATCTTGATTTAATATTCATTCAGTTTTCAAAATGAGAACATGATTTGATTTTTATGTATTTACTATTGAAAGGACATAAATTATAGACATTAATCAGCAAAAGACTTTGCATATCAGTAATTTTGATTTGAGAAGCACCAGTGTTGCAAATAATAACATTAACAATCATTAACATGCAAATAGTTTTAAAAATGGCATCTTGACTTACTTTTCACAGCCTATGGTATTTAAACCAGTAGATTAAGATTAGGATTTACTTCAAGTGTTTCATGCTTCACGTTGCTCAGACTTCTCCCAACAGTTAATGAAACTAAAGGCGACATTAAGTGGAAAATCGAAGGTTCACTGAACATTCTGAATTCTTGTCATTTAGGAAATTTGAGACCTTTCACAGCCTCTGATCAGGAGTCCCTTCACATGAACAGAAACTCTGCTTACTCACACAAACTCGTGTGAATTGCGTAATCTGATGTGTGTCACGCTGGGCTCTGAGTTGTCCCAGTGTGGTTATATAATCTGTGCCGTCCCAGGTGATTACATACCTTCAACCAGCGTCTGTTCCTGTGCACAAACAGCCCTGATCAGAGGAGGGTGGCACTCAACATCCCGACAAGACAGCAGCAGCAAATGTCACAGAACCAACAGGAAGGAGAAGAGAACAAACAACAACTTGGCAAAGGTTCTGCAGAAACTCTGTGAGCACAAACAGCACAGTGGACTAATTACTGGGAGAAAACTCATCAGATACAACAGGTTTATTTAACAGGGACAGCGCACATGAATGAACACTGCTGTAAATGTGTTGGAGTCGGTCTGAAATTGGGCATAAGATTAAAGCTCATTTACAAACACAGAAGAGGAGACTACTGTCCTCTATGAGGACAGTATTATATTTTCAAGTACAGTATGCAGTATAGAGTATCTGAAACTGTACTCTCAGTGACCAGTTATAAGGAGCCAACCTCCTGAGACAAAAAAGAAAAGCAGGAAAATGTTCTAATTAATTAATTTAATTTAATTTAATCTAATTTAATTGGTTTAAACAACACAATTCACCAAACTGTCTCTGTTAATCCCTGTTATTAGTACTGTGTACTACTGTGTACTAACTAGAGGAAGTTTGATTCCACTTGTGTCACTGACCAGAATCCTGATAAGACTTTGAAAGTTTATACTGATATGTTGGGAAATAAAAAGGTAGTGTTTTGTTGCATGGCTCCATAGTTTCTTAAGAAATGACAGTACACACAGTACTACATTAACTATAGTTGTGAAGATTTCTGGTTGTGTTAGGCCAGGTGTGTGTCTGAGAACCACTGGAGGTGGGTGGTGGTGAGTGGGTGCTGCTCACAGGACTGAAACCATGACAGATGTCTTCACAGTGTCTCTGTCACAGAACACAATACAGACAGACAGTCTGTGGTAAAGACAGTTTCAAAAACTACCTACATGGTCAGATGTGAGGTGGTGGAACTGAAAAAGTGTTTTTATCTTTTGTGTTAACTGACTTTATCCCAAAAAGTGTCTAAGGAGAAGAGCAGTGGAAGTCATTTTGTGTAATTCAGGTTTATTCTACAGGGAAATTATGATGTGACAGTGGGACTGTGTTGAATATAATGTCTAGACACAACATTTTAATGTGTTCATATGAGGTTTCACTAAATCATCTGCTGAAATTCTGTTCGAAATGAGAGATGCATGACTTTCTGTAAAGTAATGAGATTCTCTGTAACAGACTCTAGTGCCCCCTGGTGGAATAAACACACATGACACCCGGTGTGTGGCTCAAGCTTTTATTGTGTGGTCAGCAGGGAGGAAACAAACATTAACATCAACCTTTCAGGAAACAGAAGAGGCCATGTTCCCTGAGGCAGCATCTGAACAGAGGCCACAGGGCAGTCAAAGGTTTCTCCACAAAGCCAGAAACACCAACACTTGTCTTTTATTTTCTGTGATCAGAAAAGACAAAGAGAGGAGGATTACAAACACGAGTCTATGGCTTTATCATTTACACAAAACATTCTGTAATTAATTACATGGTAAACATATAAACAGTATACATATATAGCCATATTTATGGGGTAAAATCAACTGCTCTGTAGTTTAGTTTGGGCATTGTAGGTCTGTATGAAGAGAGAGTCTGGTGTTCAGACTGGCACCACTCTCATGTCTGTTAGCTTAGCTTAGAATAAAGACTGGAAACAGGTAGCCTGCTTCTGTCCATACGAAAATAATTAACATGTTATAGCGTCTTAAAACAAGTGGATAAAAGACTGTTATTGCAGTTCTAATCTATTAATTCTTCAGTCATGTCAGTTGAGCTGAGGAGGCAATGCTTTACAAACTGAAATCAGAAGCTGAACATTACAGGTGTGAAGAGTCATCGTGTCTGTGTCAGTGGAATAAGAAGCACACAATGCTCTGTGTGAGGTGAGTGTTATAGAGGAAACAGAGATTTACTGATTCATCATGGCTTTAGAGGCATGGTGACAGTTGTTGAACAAGAGGTTGTAGTCCGTGCCTCCGACGTGCACAAAGTCAGCGACAATCTTTGAACCCCCAAAATCTTTAGGGGGACTGATTGGCTGCAGAGAGAAGGCAAGAAAAACGGAGGTGGTTAAAACACCTGCAGTTTGTCCTTAGCTCACGTCACTCAGTGTCTGTGAAGCAGGAAAGGTCTGTTTATCTAAAACACTACTTCCAATCAAAATTTGACATTGTGGTAACTTAAGCTT